GGCCTTTCTAGTGCATGCACGCTCTCATATTGTAAAGCTTCATTTTGCCTTTTTAAGTGTTGCCTCAGCTTTGGATTTCCCCCAGAATATAAGCCACCTACTTTGAGTTAAATGTGTTGCCTTTTGTGACTCGATTTGTAAGAAGGTGACCATTTAGTTTTTATTCTGCTTCTGATGTTTCAATGTCTCGAGCTGTGTAATGGTGCCAAATTATCTACAGTTGCCAGTTGTTGTGTATTCCTTGGAGAGTATTTATATTCCACTGAATGGCAACAAAGTCATAGCCTTTGGCAGCATGACAAACCTAATGATCCTGCACAGCAATGAAATGTTTCCTGTTTGATCTTACTGTTTTTTACCCTTGCATTTCCCTGTATTGCAAACTCCACTCATTCGTCACAATGAATAGCTGAATTATTTTTAAAACCACAAGTTGCCTTTATTTTTAATTGGAAGCTTTTAAAAGTAGCTATTCTTCAAGCCTGTGGCTTCTGATGACTTTTCTGCAGCTTCTCTTTATGAAGCCATGTGAAACACTGGGAATCAAAGAATAGCGTCAGTAAATGTTCCTCTCTTGTCCATAATCATGAATAAAATAAACACTGAAGAAAGTTTAAAAATCAGAGAAGGAAGAGAGAAATTGGGTTAAAGCAAACGAAGCAAGTTCAGTGAAGGGTTGTCTTACTCAACCCGCTAGCTTGAGCGGGCTATGTGGTAAGTCTAGGCAGGAATTGTCTGTGTGTGCATGACCAGATCAGCTTGCTGGTTTAGAATCCGGCTTGGAAGGATTTGCCTTTCTTTGGAATTTCAACTGTTTTTGAGTTTATTTGTGTTGAATTTTTCTCTAACAAAGGAAATTACCGAAACCACTCATTTAATCAAAATATGGCTGTGGAAATCAAGACTCAGAAATCAGACATTTTGTCATTGTTCAGCTTTCCAAGATGCTTAAGTCTTTGCTAGAGCCACTAACATGCTTATTGGCCTTCCAGCAGCATTTTAATTGGTCTCCAAAGTAGTGAGGAAGCTTTTTTTGGATGGAAGGGAGAACGGATTACCACCATTTGTCTGTTTAATGCAGAAGTTTTGAGCTGTATTAAATGCAGAGTGGTTCAGCTAAACAGGTTAGATTAGATGGTTTAAAGGTTCACTCTAAGCAGAGAGCACCTCCTGCTGCTGGAGGTTGAGGAGAGTAGTTTTTTTTTGTCTACCCATAATTATTATGAATAGGTCTGGGTCAGTCAGTACAGTTAAAATAAGAGTTCCTTCCTCGAATTTTTGAAAAATGGGGGCGTTTCCTTGCTTTTGACCCCCTAACTGCTTCTGATATTCACAGAGGTAGACATTGTTCTGGACTGCACAACTAACTGGTGCAGTTTAGAACAAGTCCTCTCTGTCATGGACAGGCAAGAATAGATTAATGGATTTCAAGGCCAGAAGGGACTACTGTTATGATCTAGTCTGACCTGCCTGCATAACACAGGTCACACAACCTCACCCAATAACTTCTGCATCAAGCGCATAACTTCTGTTTCAGTTACAGCATATCTTTTAGAGAGACCTTTAGTTTTGACTTAGAAGTGCACGTGATGGAGAATTCATCATGTCCCTAAGAAAGTGCATAGCTGCAAAATTTCAGTGGGTGGGGATGGGAGAGGAGAAGGTTACACCAGGACCTTCCCTCGCCACTCAAGTTTGCAGCCTGAGCACAGAAAACAAACCACCAAGTCTGTTTCACTTCTCTATTTTGTTCTTACTCTGTCATACAGAAGCTTATGGGCTGAATCTGGAGTGACTCCCATTTGATGCTCAGCCACAAATTGGGGGAGAAAAAGGTTCAAAAAGAAACATCAGCCTTGCAAAATGGTCATGAAAGATGGCTAACCTAGGCCCAAACCCTCCCCCCTTACCCACGACACTGCTGATATACTTGATAGTTGACTCACCCAGGGTAGAAGATAGTTATGTAAACTGCAACTGTAGGGATGTTTTGGTTGTGGGCTTCCATGGTCACAGCTGGTGTGTGTTTTGTGCAAGCCAGAAGGTCACTTGGTACTTTCTGCCTGAGGAGAACTGTTTTAAAAATAATAAAATAGAATGTTGTGCTGGTGGTTAGAGGATCTTATCCATCTCAGTCTGAAGTATCAGTGATGACACAAACTCCAATGCTTTAACCAGAACCATGTAGTGACCGTGCTGCTTTTACTTAATTATTTGCATTATAGTAGCATGTACATATTTCCTACCAAATCCTGGGACCCATTGTGCTAAGTATTAAAAAATATGCCTGACCCCAATTCTTACAGTCTAGACAGACAATGAGTGGTAAGGGAAACCAAAGCACAGAGAAATGAAATAACCTGCCCAAGTTCACATGGCAGGGTAGTGGCAGCACTGGGAATAGAAGTTGGGTCTCCCAGTCCTGGTTCAGTGCTCTTTCCACTACATTTGTTTCCCCAATGGTGGGCTGTGGGAAGAGTCTAGGTGTGGGTCACCTCACTTCCACTGGGCTTGGGCATCAGGCAGAGGGAGCAGTGTATCCATAAAAACATTAGTTTTGATGAAGATAATACAAAATCAATATTGCCATTGCAGTTACTGGATTTAAAACATAGAAAATACTAGTTAGATAGACACAGTACATATGTAATAGTGGTCCCCATAAAAGATTAAATGCAGCTGGTAGGTCACATCAGTAAAAAGTTCGGGAACCCCTGAAGTTGATCACGCTGTCCTTCTGCCTATTGATCAGACGAATAACTGTGAATAATCATTCCCTGCTCTTCATTAAGGGCCCAGTCCTATGAGGTGTGGAAGGATCTTCAGATCTTATGATTACATATTCCAGCCACTTATCTGTCATTCAAATGTATAGACCCCCAAATGCTCAAATTGTGAAGTTGGAGCATTCATATGCAACAGTTAGAAAACCAATGTTTTGTTATGCACATGTTCAATACCCTGTAGATGAAGGGACGATGGCCAGCTGGCATCTGGGGCAGTGTTCAGGTAATTTAGGGGTCTCTTTTGAAAAGTGCAACCTTGACTGTTTCTGGCTTTCTAATTCATGTTTGGGGGGAAAAAAACCAAAAAACTAATAAATCCGAGCTATAGTTCTGTGCCTGCAATCTGAGTTTCACCTTACCAAAGCTTTCTGTGCAGGAATACACTATAGTACATGGTCAGCCACTAAACTGTCAAATAGGGCAGTATGTTGTAATACAGTTCAGTGTGACTCAGTTAATACTGTGTGGGAAATGTCACTGGAATTTCCTGACTTTCATGGGTTGAAAATCTTTACTCTTTTAATTTCCTTAATATACAGGCGTTTTTCTGGCTTTGCATGATACTTTTTCAGTTTACAAGAAACAGAACTAGCTGTGGTCAGAATGGTCCACCTTGTTTCCCTGGATAAGTCTGCACTTCCTCTTGGCGCTATTTAATTTCCTAGAATGTTTTATCTTTTACTGCACACTAGTTTTAAGAAATAGAGTTGATTGTAACAGCCATGTGACCAATAGCGTGAAATGCTTAGACTATGCAATACCATGATTACCCCTCCAAGAAATTAAATACCTCTCATACAGTCATGGGTTACTCTGGGGAGATGAGAAGAGGAGAACTGAGAATGGGACTAGGCTGAAGGCACGCCGGAGGTCTAATCCTGGTTGACACTGATGCCTGTAACCTTGGGCAAATCACATATTCTCTGCGTTCCTTTTTTCACCTAGAAAAAGGGGCTAGTACCACCAGATCTGTCTCTCAGTTTTGAACATTAAGAAGTTTGCAAAGCGAGTTGAAAATGACAAGTACAGTAAATTGTTATAATAAGCCCTATCACTGGAGTCTGGCAGCCTTTTCACTTATCTTCAGCATTAAGGTACAATGGAGCCTCGGACTTACATAGCCAAAGTCCACAACATTTGGATTCAATGTGTAATCTGACAATCACTCAGCTCAGCTGGAAGGTAAATAGTGTGACTAGATGAGGTAGGGAAATATAGAGAACCATGCTGGCAAGAGTACAAAGAATCTAAGAGTTTTGTGAGCACTTCCACAGCAACACAAAGGGTAGATCTGGAAACAAACACTGACACGCCATAACTCAACTCAAATAGTAGCCTCTTCTGTACCTGTACTAATGACTTTAATTTTGTGTTTGCTGTAATAATTGTCATGTACTCCACTGCATCCTTAAGCAGTTGATTCATTCATAAGGTTGGGTAACGTTTACCACATTCCATTCAACTGCCTGGAATGTGAATTACTCTGGCAGATATTCAGCACGGGGTGTCTCCCTCCTGCCCTGCCCGGGGTATCCATACAAAATTAATGGGCTCCCTGAAGTTGGAGCCATAGTATTAACTTAACTATCAGGGAAGACAGGAGAGCCATTAAGGATCTTCTTGTGCTGGGAGAGCAATGGATTTGGCACAGGCTGTCACAACACGTGGGTTAGTTGGCTCTGCTGGGTCTCGCTCTCTTGCTGAACTGCAGCGGGGAGGTGGATGGCTAGGACCAGGTGAAGGCTTGTGCCAGCCCCAGGCCTGCAGAGTTCCTGCCTTTGCTGCAAGACGTGTTGAATTCCTGCAGGCCGGGGGCAGGTGCGAGCTGCGGCTTATTTCAAAAGGTCTCTGGCCCAGGCACTTCCTTTGGAGATGACAAATGGGAAGAGGCCTGGCTTCCCCAGGGCAGCGCGTCTTGAGGGGCAGGCGGGCTGCGCACAATGGTACCGGACGGGCAGGTTCCGAACAGCTGTGGAGAAACAGGAGCCCGGCTCAGTCCCGTGTGCAATGCACAAGCGCGCGGCTGCCGGGGGCACGGGGCCCAGCGCGGCCAGAGAGCGCCACGTGGGGACTACCTGCCCAGCCCAGCCCAGCCTTCTCCGGGCAGGGGCAGGGCTCGGCTCGGCTCGGCTCCGCCCGGCCGCCCCGTGGGCGGGGAGCTGGGAGCTGCGCCGGGCGGCGGAGGCAGTGGCTGGAGGAGCCGGCGGGGCGAGGATGCTGCGGCGGCGGCTGCTCGGGGCGCTGCTGCTGCTGGCCGGGGCGGCGGCGGCGGGCTCGGCGGGGCCGGTGCTGAGTGCCGAGCTGCGCGGCCAGCCGGCGCGGGAGGTGAGCCCGGCTTTCCTCTCCCTCACCATCGATGCCAACCTGGCCGCGGACCCCAGGTTCATCCCCATCCTGGGGTAAGTGACCGGCCCGCCCTGCGCCCCCCACCCCCCGGCTCACCCCGCGGCTGCCTCCCAGAGAGGAGCAGCGGTTTCCTCCCCCTCTGTTAAAAGACGGGGCCAGCTGGGGTGTGTGTGAGACCCTCCCCTTAAGTGCTGCAGTCGCCAGCCCGGCGAAGTCAGAGGATAGCTAGAGTCTTCCCCCCCCCCCCCCGCCCCAAAACAGCCTCCCAAGTCCTGCCAGTCCCGTGTCCCCCCCACACAGACACACACTCCAGGGAGTCCCAGCCAGGTGTCCAGGGGACCCTGCCCAGCTCCCTGCCTTCCCCTGTGGTAGCCCCAGTCTGCCCAATGGCCAGTGCTTTGCTTTCTCTCCCAGGGCTAGGAACAGCAGGGTGTCAGCAGTCCCCAGCTACCACCCACCTCCCTCGAAACAAGTACCTTTATTCCTAATGTAATAAGATTCCAGAGGAAACATGTAAAAAACAACAGAGGTTCCTACCTACCTGCTAAAAGCTTAACAGAGGTCACCTGTGGGGCCCCACTAGCCTAAAGTCTTTCCAACCCTTCCGCAAGGCTTTGGGTGCCCCGGGACAGGAAATCCTCTCCACTTGCTGAATGAAGAAGAAGGACGAAGGCCCTACGGCAGTTCAGGCTCCGCTCTTTATACTAAGCTCTTTATACCAAGACCCTTATGGGGTCTTCTGGGCCAGGACATCTATCCTGCAATTTTATAGCCTCCCAGCCTGAGCCCCAGGAGCCCGAGTCAGCTGACACGGGCCAGTCATGGGTGTGTTGTTGCAGTGTAGACATACCCATTGGCAGGAACACAGGGTGGAGGGAGTTCACAGGACCGCTGCCCATGCTGTACTTGTTTTGAGGATAAACAAGGTGCTTTGTTCTGCAGGGCTGTAACTGCAACAGCTTTCATCAGCACAAAATCCACAGGATTTTTTTTAACTGAATTAAAGAGAGCATGAGAACTCAGCAGAGAAAAAGGTAGGGCTGAGGTGCACTGACAGGAGCACAGGTGTAATCCCAGGAGAGGAGCTACCAAGGGTCAGATGGGGGCCAAACACCACAACACGGAGGAAGCAGAGTCTTCCAATGATTGAGGGGCTCCCGAACTCGCAGCCTTCTAGCTCCTCCACTGAGCAGGGTCACGAAGTGAGCTGATCTCCCAATCCTGGTGCAGCTTTGGACTCTCCTCCCACTTATGTCTTTTGCTTAAAGTGGAGTGAAACAAGTGGAGGAGGCTCTGTCATTGCCCGAGGCTGAATCTGCACCTGCTGGAAAATGCAGTCCTCCCTCAGCCACGCAGCCCTTCTAAGGAAATACAGCGAATAAACCAACCCATGTTTAGTCTTCACCAGAGTTTTTCCTCTCTCCTGTTTCCTTTCTGTTTTGATTCTCCATGTCTCCCCTGCCCCCTCCCCCACTTCTCCTGTGTCCACAAATCTTTTCTTTTTTACCACCTGTTTTCTATCCCTTTATCTCTTTCCTCATCTTTTGACTTCCTCTTTCCTGCAGCTGCTTTCATCCTGCTTGTCTCACTTCTGTTCTCTACATCCTCTAACTCTTAGTCCCCATTTCTGTCTCCCCTCACCCTGCCTCACTCATCTTTCTTTTTCTTTTCTTTTTTCCTGGCCCCTCCATTGCATTTTCATTTGCCAGGTCTCAGTTTTACCTTCATCTCACAGGGGTGTTGAGGATTAATGTGTTAATGTTTGACTTGTTAAACACTTTCTTCTCTCTCGGCTTGGGCCTTGCCATTTTTGGGGATCCCTCCTGTTGCTTGGCTATTGGAGATGGTCTCCCATCATGTGGGAGTCTTCCTTCTAGCTATCCGCAAAGAAAATCTGCCCTTCTCTTCCACTGCCTGAGCTCTGGGAATAAGAGCCTGGAGCAGGGATGGGCAAACTTTTTGGCCCGAGGGCCACATCTGGGTATGGAAATTGTATGGCAGGCCATGAACGCTCATGAAATTGGGGTTGGGGTGCAGGAGCGGGTGAGGGCTCTGGGGTGGGGCTGGAGATGAGGAGTTTGGGCATAGGAGGGTGCTCTGGGCTAGGACTGAGGGGTTTGGAAGGTGGGAGGGGGATTAGGGCTGGGACAGGGGATTGGGGTGTGGGAAGGGGTGCAGACTCTGGCTGGGGGTGTGGGCTCTGGGGTGGGGCTGAGGGGCTTGGGGTGCCGGAGGGTGCTCTGGGTTGGGATCAAGGGCTTGGGGTTCGGAGGGCGGGAGCAGGATCAGGGCTGGGGCAGGGGGTTGGGGCACGGGGGAGGCTCAGGGGTGCAGGCTCCGGGCGGAACTTACATCAAGCAGCTCCCGGAAGCAGCGGCATGTCCCCACTCCAGCTCCTACACGGAGCCATGGCCAGGCAGCTCTGCGCGCTGCCCCGTCTGCAGGCACCGCCCCTCAGCTCCCATTGGTCGCAGTTTCCAGCCAATGGGAGCTGCGGGGGGGGAGTGCAGAGCGGAGACTCCTGGCTGCCCCTCGGGGCTGTCCCTAGACATTGTGGTGCCCTACGCAGCCCCCCTGTGGGGGAGGAGGCTGACCCCAGGCCTCCACGGAGGGTGGCGTCCCCAGGCCTTGGGGGGGCCTACACTCAAGGTCTGTGGGGGGCAAGAGCAGGCTTGGGGGGCAGTGGGGAAACTCCACTTCCTGATGCACTTCCTGCCGCCCGGTGATTGCAGGGTGGGCCCGACCCCGCACTCACCGGGTGGCGGGAAGTGGAGTGACCCAGACCCAGCCCACTCTGCTCTGCTCCCCTGGCTCCCAGCCTTGGGGGGCCAGGGGGAACCGCCCCCAGCACTCACTGGCGGCGTGGCTAGGAGCTGGTGGAGCGGGCTGGGGCCGGGTCGCTCCACCTCCCGCCGCCCGGTGATTGCAGGGCGCGCCCAACCCCTGCTGCAGTTCCCCGGGACATAGCTCAGGGGAAGGGGTGGAGTGGGGGTGGGGCAGGGACAGAGCAGGGGTGGAGTGGAGGTGGGGTGTGGCTTTGGGGAAGAGGTGGGGTGGGGGTGGAGCAGGGGCGGAGGCTATGGGGAAGGGGTGGAGTGGGCGGGAGTGGGGGCAGCTTTCCTGGCCGGCTCAGCTGGCCGGGGGACTGGGCTGGCGGCTGGAGCAGCAGGCAGCTGCATGGGGCACCAGGAAATTTAGGGCAATTTGGTGCCCCAAATTTCCTGGTGCCCTGCACAGCTGCGTAGTTTGCATATGGGTAAGGATGGCCCTGCTGCCCAGGGCCGGCTCTAGGCACCAGCTTACCAAGCAGGTGCTTGGGGCAGCCACTTCCAAGAGGGGCGGCACGTCCAGCTGTTCGGCGGCAATTCGGCGGAGGGTCCCTCACTCCTGCTCGGCGCGAAGGACCTCCCGCCGAATTGCCGCCACAGATCGCGATCGCGGCTTTTTGTTTTGTTTTGTTTGGCTGCTTGGGGCGGCCAAAACCCTGGAGCTGGCCCTGCTGCTGCCCTACACATAGAAGCCAGAGTGGGGACCATGCCACTGCTTCTGGGAGCTGCATGGAGCAGCCCCTGACCCTGCTCCACCAGCTGGAGCGGGGCAAGCCCCAGACCCTGCTCCCCAGTGGGAGCTCGAGGGCTGGCTTAAAATGGCTGGCGGGTCGGATCCGGCCTGCGGGCTGTAGTTTGCCCACCCCTGGCCTGGAGCCACTTGCTCATGCAGTCACCCTTTTTCTATTGACAATGCACCCAGCAGCAAGTGGGGGGGGGGGGGAAGGGAAGGTATCTTCAACCTGCCTAGTGCACTTCTAACCTCTCTGACATTCAACAGCAAAGTGAAAGTGGAATGAAAAACATCTAATCAGAGTTCATGATTCAGGCTCTGCCACAAAGAGGAAGTAATTGGTGGCTGATAATCTCCTGCACAGTTGTTCCATAACAGAGATAACATCGGTGAAGTACAACTTTGTTGTCTTTGCCTCAAGGTCAGACTGAAGAGGGGCAGTCTTGTCTCTTCCTTTGCAGTGGCTGGGCTCACAGAGCATGTTCCCTGCACATTACTCCAGCTGAGAATTTGCGCAATCTCTGTGTGTAGACCAGTTTAATTTAAATAGGTTTTTTAATCTGTTAAATTAAATTGATGCTAGCCCCTATGTGGACTCTGTTTTTGGTTTAAGAGTGATTGGATTCAGTGTTGCTTAGGTCAATTAGGAATCAAAATTTAAAACCAATTTTAAGTTAAATCAGTGCAACTTTCTTACGTAGGTAAGGCCCTGGTGTACTCCAAACTGCTGGTTACAATGTTTCCTCATTTCAGAAAGAGAGAAGCAGGGGCAGAACAAATTAAATATGGGTACATCTATCCCCCCAGGATTCAAACTTGACATTAAAGCTCTGTCATCACTTCCAATGGTTGGAATTTTTGGAGAGGGAAGGTGGGGAAAACCACAACAAAACATAGAAAAAACCCTTCATTTGCAAAGGATACTCCCAGTCGTATCATTGACCATTTTCATCAGAAGTGAGGACTTTCCCTGGAGAGCAGCTGCCTGACCTACAAAATCACTTAGTCAGAAATCTGCCAATCCTATGATCTAGTGGCAGCCCTGCTATATGATGCAGGGGATTGAAGTATGGATCTGGGAGTGCTGGAGGTAACACACTCAGCCCCTGGGTGTAATAGGAGGCAAAGAGTGACATGGTTAAGGGGAGGTATAAAGAGAGGAAAGGGAGGGGAATTCCTGCAATCCCCACACCCTCTGAGGCCACATTCAGCAAAATTTGCATCTGGATTTGAATGTTTATGATGTTCAGACCCATCTCTGCAACTAATTATGGTCAGCTTGACTGTGATGAAGATGTTTGTTCCATTTCTCAATACTCCCTTCCCCAGCTCTCCCAAACTGCGCACCTTAGCAAGAGGTTTGTCTCCAGGCTTCCTGAGATTTGGTGGCACCAGAACTGACTTCCTGATCTTCAATCCAGAGAAGGATTCAACTTTAGAAGAGAGAGACTTTTGGGAACCACAGGTGAATCAAGGTAAAACAGATGGCAACATGTTAACCATGAACATGTCTTTGATTTAAGTTAATTAAAATGTGCTTTAAAGCATGCTGCAGATACAGTAAATACAGGGCAAAGCATTCCAGTCCATGCTTACATGTCAGTAGACTCGTCTGAGGTTGACAGGCATGTCCCATGTCCTGCAGGACTAGCTCCTAGCTGCTGGGAGAGGAAAGCACAGGTGAGTGGAGCCTGCCCTAGAGGTACCACTAAGTGAAACCTCCAACTTAGTGGCCCAGGGCTGTTTAGAAGATTCTTCTCTGCATGGGTCTTTAGAACATCTTCCCTCCTATCCCTTCCATTCTGCTCTGTCTCTTCTCTTACCACTGCCCCAGTACTTCACAGTCTGCCAGTCTCCCTTTCCCCATCAGCTGGCTCTTTGTGTTTCTTTACATTATGAGCTCTGGCAGGGCCTGTTTGTGTGATCAGAGCCTAGCGCATTCTGACTGGTACCAGAGTACCAAAAACAAATGATGACAATTGAGATGCAGGGTGGAAAACCGGTCACTTTACAGGCAGACTCCCCACCTAACAATTGGGAAATCTACCTTTCTACTGGGTTGCTGTTCCATCAGAACAGCATTCCTAGCCTCTGCTTTCACCAATAGGAGCTGGGAAATTGCAGCTACATCCTAAAAATAAAGCACTAACTGACAAAAATAATTAGGTGGAAGGGAGGAGATTATTCTGCTTTACCTCCGTGCGGGGGATTTGCAAAAGCACTCCGTTTTGGCTTATTTCCACTCTCATTGAAGACAATGGTTTTCTTCTTTCTTAGGGCAACTTGAAAAGCAACTTTAAAGATCAGTGTCCAGGTTTGTTATCCACTCTGTCAGCTTCCAGTGACATGGAATGAACCAAGGCTGTCCCTCTGGAGAAGAATCTTAGGGGGCAGTGACTCACTATATGTTCCATGGTTTACTCCCACTAACTTTAAGGGGAGCAGAGTAAGGACAACACTGAATGCTCTAGAAAATCCCACCCTTATATTTAAATACGTGGATAGTTTTTTTTTAAAAAATCCCACACTTTGCTTCTAGACAGATGGCTTGCGTATGCCAAGTTTTAGCATCTGATGAATTTCACTGAGAATTTATACCCTTCTAAAGTTGGGTTCACTGATGGAAAAACCTTGACAAAGCAATCTGTCCAGTGCTACTAGTGGGTGGTGTTAAATTGAAATATTTCCTGTACTTTGTCCTGCTCTCTTGCAGTGCTTATGAACGTACATCCTCCTCAGTTTACTGTCCAACAGTGTTGGTGTGTGGTTTATGGGTTCAGTCTTTTTTTTTTTTTTTAAATATTGCCTGAAGAACAAACTTAACATTTCCAGAACTTCTGCCAAGACCTTTTTCTCACCACTCTTGTAATGAGATCAGCAGTTCTCACTGCATCAACCAGGAAATGGGTTTTTCCTGTTTTTGTACAATGAGAGCTGCTGACCTTGCCATCTTCCTGCACTGTGGTTCTTTACTCAAATGGTACGTTGTCTGTCTAGTTGCTTTGCATACAAGATTTAAAGACATTAGCATGATAACTCAGAGAACTGCCTCCAGTAATAACCAAACAATGTACCAAATTATAGCCACCCATAATCCAATCTCACCATATTACAACACAGTCAGTCGGTCCCCACTCTAAATGTTTTAAAGAAAAGATGTGCTTTGCACATATTTAAGTACATTCCTGTAATGGGAATACTTTCGTTAGAACTGGCAAAAATCTTAAAACCAGTAGAAACACGGTGAGTGCCGTCACTGTAAATGCTAAATATTTTTAGATGTTGAAAAGACACCTGGCTGTATTGGATTTTAGAAGGTGGAAATATCAACCCAATCATTCTCCTTTCTAACGTTTAATGTATTGAACTCAGCGGGAGGATTCAGCCTACAGAAATGCATGAATGAGCAACTCTGTACAATCGTAACTATGTTTCTTTATGTGGAATACAATCCTCCATTTATTGTAACCTAAGCACAATACTATGAAAAGTTTATTATTATGACATGTTGTGGGGGTTTTTGGCCTACAGGTATTTGTGGAGTAAGATCTATTCCTACTGCTGTGGAGGAGCTACTGCTATCTCAGTGGCCCATCCAGGAGAAGATACTCCTTAAGGAACAATACTGGAAAAAATACAAAAACACCACCATTACAAGTAAGATGTTTGTGACAATACCTGTTAATTAGAAGGTCACTCTTGTGCTGTGACTTGCAACTGGGAGGTTGCAAACCTATTTGAGTTCTAGGGCAAAATTTTCAAAAGCACATAAGTCCCATTTTCAAAAGAGACTTTGACCATTGGGCTCCTAAATGCCTTTGAACGTTTAAATAGACAAGGTGGGTGAGGTAATACCTTTTATTGGACCAATTTCCGTTGGTGAGAGAGACAAGCTTTCGAGCCACACAGAACTCTCCTTCAGGTCTGGAGCTCTATGTAAGCTTGAAAGTTTCTCTCTTTCACCAACAGAGGTGGTCCAATAAAAGGTATTACCTCACCCACCTTGTCTCTCTAGTATCCAGGGCCCAATGTGGCTACAACAAATTTGAAAGTTTGCCACTGAGGTGTGACTGAAAATGTTGCCACTAGTATCTGTTTTCTGATTTAATATTTTGTCAGTTGCAATGGGAGTTGAGAGGATGCTCAGAATCTTACAGGATAAGGCCTTGAGATTGTAAAATCAGTGGGGCTGTATATGCTACATACATCTTCAGCACTAATAAAACAAATCATCACAATGAGTAGTCTGTATATTTGTTCTAAGTCAATTGGCACTTCAGAACTTTGAAGAAAATAATTCATTTCCCCCCCTTCTTTCTTCTTACAGAAAGTACAGTGGACATTCTGTATAGCTTTGCAAAGTGTTCAAAGCTGGATCTGATCTTTGGCCTTAATGCCTTACTTCGAAAACCTGGCTTGCAGTGGGATAGTTCAAATGCTCAGTTGCTCTTGGATTATTGTGCTTCCCAACATTACAACATGTCTTGGGAACTTGGGAATGGTAAGTGCAGAGTGTGAGAGGTGGTGTGTGTGTTAGTGTGTATTAGTGTTAGGGTAGTCATAGTAGATATTGTTCTGCTGAGAGGTACTGGTGACTACATCGATCACAAATCTCTGATTGGATGTGAGCTCACCCAGCATTTAACACAAGGAAGAGTTAATCAGAAGCCCCCTTCACCTGAGACACAAAGAGGTTGTGAACCTGCCTGGGAGTTTGGACTGAGGCCATGTCTACATTACTACACTACATTAAGTCAACCTAGCTTACGTTGGCAGACAGCCACTGCAGTAATTAGATCGTCTGTGCTTTGCTCCTTGTGTCAGAGGTGCACGTCCTCACCAGGAGCACTTGTATCGATTGTACTGTCAGTGTGGGGCATTGCGCAATGACTCCTGAAAGCCAGTAACAGTCGACATAAGCAATGCAGTGTCTACACTGACACTGCGTCGACCTAACTACATTGACCTTGACTGTATGTTACTCTTGGAGGTAGAGTGAAGTTGGCGTAGCGGGGCAGTTACGTCGGCAGGAGCAAAATTTAAGTGTAGACGCTTCCATAGTTAGGTCGACATAAGATGTCTTGGGTCGACCTAACTCTGTAGTGTAGACCAGACCCGAGTGCTTTTGGGTAGGGGTGTGTGTTTGAGGGAAGGGGGAATTCACAGAAACTGAGGACAGAACAGAGAGGGAGGCAGAGGCAAAAAGCAAGAAAACCAAGCTGTAGCCGGTGAGCACAGTGTGACCCTAGCGAAAGCTAGAGAGAAGGCTTTTGAGTCTGTTGGGTAAAGAGGCCGGGGGCTGTAAGCGAAGACACTGCTCCTTTTGTTCTTGGTTCCTCCTGCATTCGGAGAAGCAGGACTTTATATGTTCCTTGTAAATAAACAAGATTGCATCAAAGAAAATACACCAATTTCTGCTCACAACTGGAACATCCCCAGGACCCTGAACCTTGAGTAGCTGCTTGGATCGAAAAAGGGGCCACGGTATTTTGTACATTCCACTGCTGCAAAATGGCAGAAAACTCTTGGCTGCAGAAACCCTGTCAAACAATGGCAGATTTTTGTGCCTGCATCTCACACTGTTTTCTGAACTGATCCATAAAGCTGGAATGTTAATAGTTGTCAGATTGTTCCACAACTAGAGATGGGATGAATCACAATTTTGGGATATCCAGGTAACACTTTGTGGTAGTTGGAGCCATATAGATCCATAATGGTACTGGCCATTGTTGGAGACAGGATACTGGGCTAGATAGACCATTGGTCTGACCCAGGATAGCAGCTCTTATGTTCTTATCCTGAACATCAATAACTGCAATCCATTAGGGAGCCACAGTGGGAGAAAGCAAATTACAGGGAGTAGTGCTGGGGTCAGGAAAAGCAGGGTGTCAGCGACAGTGACCGGGGGCACTGGCTAAGTGGGAGGGGATTTCTGGTAATGCAGTAGAGAGAAAAAGCATTTGTATACCAGGTTTGGGAATGGGTTGACTAGCAGTAGGCTATACTAGGAAGGAATGGGAGAAGAGACTCTGGATTCAGGTGACAAGAGGGAGACAAGTAGTGATATACACTGCAAAAGAAGTCTCTAATAACAGAAGTTGTGGGGAAGGTCTCTGGGGCTGAGAAGAGAGGCGTAGCAGGCCAGGAAATGGGAGAGAGCAAGGTAAGACTGGAAATATTTACTACCACATGGCAATGGCCATTAATTTCTACAATGAAAAATTTTCAGGAACGGCTCTGTTTGATAAAAATCCAAATAAGGGCGTGGTTTATGGGGGAAAGGGTGAGATCTTAATCATGACTAAGAGAAGCAGTGGAAGACCTACTGCTTGAATTGTTTTAAATCAATTCACTGTTTGTAAAGTGTTTTGGCATCCTCAGATGAAAGGTGCTACAGAGATGCAGAATATCATCATCATTACTTATTCAAACTAATTTGGATAGAGGTTTGGAAAACATACTATATGGAACAATCCTTTCCTGGGAGGCCACGCCCTCCCGTAGATGTAATAGTCTCTCCCGTCTCTTATTTCATAGCTTATTTACTGCCCAACTGTGTAGTTAACTTTCTGTAAGTTGGTTGGTTATTACTGCTGTGCACATTTTGAATGAGTCATATGTTTGTTCTGGAACGTTACTGAGGAACAGTCTGTGTGTATATGTTTGTTTCTTTCAGAGCCAAACAGTTTCAGGAAGAAGTCTGGCATCTATATTGATGGTTCCCAACTTGGGCAAGACTTTATTCATCTGTATCACCTTCTGAGAAACTACAGCAGTTACAAGAATTCAAAACTTTATGGCCCTGATGTTGGTCAACCACGGAAAAACACTCAGAAGTTGTTGAAGAGGTAACCAAGCAGAAACCTGCCATCACAGGCTTGATAAGAGAAGGCAGTACGCTGAGTGTAGAATGCACATGTGTATGGGAGAGAGGACTGAGAATTTAAGGGGTCTGAGGATTGAGAATTTAAGGGGTCTGAGGATTCCATAGTTGGAACATGCCTAAGGTGTTAGGATACTGAAACATTAGATTTGATTGAGAACTAATTCTGTTTTAGTTTTATGGAAAACTAGAGCCAACAACTGTCTGCCTGTCGGAGTCTGATTAAAATCATAACTGCATTGCCAGCGAGTAAGGGCTAAATCCCAGCTGGTGTAAATTGGTTCAGTTCTACTGATGTAAACGGAGCTACTCTGATTTATGGCAGAAGCTCTGGCCCCTAAGGGTGACAGAAACTCACTAATCCACACACTTTTCAGTCAGCACCAGAAAATTGAGTCCCCACCTTTCAGCAATGTTTAATAACAAATGCTGTGTCAGTCTCTTACCGCTTTATTATTCATTATTTTTGCAAAATATTTTTCAGTACATCTAATGTACTGTAAAATATTACCAGAAATAAGTGGCATAAATTGAGTATAATACATACAACAAATTTTAGAAACAAACTCAGGGGAAGGAGGAAGGTAGGGCAGGGTATTATGAATATTTTTTTAAATGTAGGTTAGGGTGTCTAAAACACATGACGCATCACTGAGATTGCAGCATTTGATATAATGGAAAGCTTGTGCTTTAGGTTTTTATACATCTGTCTGATACCAGTCAAAAAGCCCCAAATCCACTTCTGCTGTAGTTGCTAAATCTTGTTTAAATAAAAGTTTTAACTAGTGTCTTGCATGTGAGAATCTCAAAGTACTGCACAAACATTAAATAACCTTCAACAGTCCACTGGTGTAGGTAAATGCTACTAACCCCATTTTATAGATGAGGTAAACTGAGGCTCGGAAAGGTTGAGTGACTTGCTCAAGATCACTCAGCTAGTCATTCTCAGAGGCAGGATTAGTTTTGTGCTCATAGCCTCACAAAATAATGGAGTTCTTTTTGTTTGTTGACAGCTTCCTGAAATCAGGAGGGAAAGTAATTGATTCTGTTACCTGGCATCAGTAAGTATTACGTATCTATTTAATTGCTATAGTATTAATAGATACAGATTTTTGTGAAACATTCTTGATTTTAAATACCGTGATGGCGAAAGTAGAAAAACATCAGTTGAAACAGCTGTTCATACACACAACCACTCATTGTGGAACTCTGTCCCTGTAGAGTGGTGGGTAGGCCACAGAGAGAGGTGGATGAATTTGCATACAAAGTGGGGTCTTAACTCATGCAGTAGAGCCACAAGCTCCTAGAAACAAAAGACCCAGGTTCAGTCCCCACTCCCGGTGACTTACCTGGCAGCATGAAGTTACACCAACCCTGAGTTAACAATATCCTACTCTTAATAAAAAGAACAACAAAAGAAATCATGTAGGGCCCTACCTTGCAACCCAACCGAACGTGGGGGGTTATCATGGTAGTAAGCAGGTTTTTCAGGATCAGACCTTAAAGACTGACTAATCTAAAGGTTCTCATATTTCAAAATGATTCAGCAATACTGCTTATTGCAACAATGTTATTCTGCAAGTCTCTTGGCTTTGCATGTGAAAAGGGAGGGTGGCACGTAGTTGGAGGTGAATTATTAGTGCTAAAATATCAGTGAAGGATTTAATTGGCAGCATTTGTAAACACAGATTGTGACTTTTTTTTCTTATTTTTTATAAGGTTTGTTTGTTAGGTGTTGATGAGGATTCTGTATGGTACTAGACTTTTGACAATTCCTGCATGGAAGTTTTGTCTCTCTTTCCAAAATGCCAGTCTATTTCTTCTCCTTCCCACCATGCTGATGTATCCCAGGACTCCTCCAATGCCATGCATGGAGTTTCCCCCATGATTTTACCTCTCCTTTCCCTGTTCTGAATAAACAGTATACGTGAAGAGAAGAGATTTTTAAAATGTTAGGATTATCTAACAGGCTTCTTAGCGCACCAGTTTTACCATCCTTTTCAGGTCCCCATATCACTGACGATCAGTGGCTATGCAGCTCCAATAAAGGTGGAAAGATGTAGTGGCATTCCTGAGCATTTTATAATGTAAGGATAGCCAAGAGTCTATTCCTGTGGCTGTGTACAGGGCTCTGTGTGATTACTACGCCTATGTAAGCAATGATCACAAGAGAGTGCTCCATCTTAACACGATGGAAGTAAGAAGTCCTAGCAGGTACATTTTTCAAAGCAATGCAGGGAGTTAAGCAGTTTTTCTGACCAGGAAAGGGTGTTGTTCCAACAGACAAGGTCCGGTGGACTTTTGCATATGTAGCATTTGGACAGGCACAGCCGCTGACATATGCAGACTGAGCAGCAGCCCAGGTTATCTCAAAGCTCCACAAATGCTACAGAACTTGTAACCGAATAGACTTTCCTACTGGGAGGTGAGTGGGGCTTGGTTGGCATAAAGGAGAAGGAGAGAGGCTTACTCACTCTTGATTAGTAATTTGCACTTTGTAGCTAATAGTTCACTCTAAACAGCACAAGGAACTGTCCCAGATGAAACAGCCATGTCAGAAATGAGAGTAATGCCACAGGGTAACTAATTATGCAAATCACTTAACAATTGAGAGAGGAGCGTTAGAGGTGGATGCTGTTCCTTGCAAAAACACCATTTGCAATTCAAGGAAGGTTATCTGTTGCCCAAGTGGAAGCATGTTCCAGCTGCCCCTTGGCTGCCACACAGGCTTTGGCTAGTAGAGACAATAAGTCTGAAAGAGAGAGGAAGGGGGAGAGCCATATCCCTGAGGATAAGACCCATGTCAATACTGTTGTGGCCTATGGGTTGGAGTCCCCTGGGGTGCTGAAGGATGCTCCTGTCCAGCTGTTGCTGAGGCTCTGGAGAGGCTTGGGGGTTGAGTTCTCTCAGAGACTATCACACACAAGAGCTGGGAGGTCTGTCATTAGAGACCGTGAGCCCTAGCGACCAAGTCAAATTGGCCTGCCCTCCCTTGCCACAAAAGGAGCACGTATTAGCTTATCGCTTCACTGTCCTCGTGGTCATCAGCCATTTTAAACATCCCAGTAGGTAAGAGATCTGTGCTGGAACTGAGCCATATTCTCTGTTGCACCAGTTTGCCTCACTGAAGTCAGTGGCGCTGTGTGAGGGCGACTGAGAATTCAGCCCACTCAGAGAGAAACTAGTCTAGAGAAAATTCCAGAAACCATCACCAAGAGCGCAAACTAATGCCGCCAGTGTAGTGTGTAAATAGGGATGGTAACAGGAGCCTTAGGCAACATGGGTTGGTGCTTTACGTTCTGCATTTTTCTTCGTTCCCTGTGCCTGTTCAAGTTTAGTGCAAACAAAACCCCTTCAGGTTAAAGACTCACTTTTTCCACTCTGAGAATTACCCATGCAATTATCAGTAATACAGCTTCAGCTGCACGCTTAAATTCCCATTCATGTTTGACAATGTGCCTCTGATAGTCTTAACTCTCCTTGGGACCCAACCCAGTGTGTAAATCAAAAAAACATTATCTGAATTGCCAGTTCCCATGTATGTGTTTTAGTGATGTTGTTTTTAAGTGTTGATATATGGGCAAAGCTTTATAAAATAGGACCCTAATTTAGGAAAGCACTTAAGAACATGTATAACTTTAAGCATGTTCTTAGGTCTCCTTGTCACAGATGGGACGTAAATAAATGCTTAAGTGCTTTCCTGAATAGAGGTGCTTTCCTGACTTTGAATCTATATTGTTCAAGATCCCAGGTCATTATCACATAATATTATACAGCTGTAATGTAATTTTAAAAATACACTTTTTGATTAAGGTTTGTAAAATAAAGAAACTAATTAATACAACTCTACATAAATGAACCCACTAAGTTAATTAGATAGACAAATAATATTTCACTATATGCAGCAAGTCTACCTTAATAATAGAGCCAGCAACTAATGTAGAAAAGTGATTTTGATACAGAACTCATCTACAGTTGGGAGTGTTGCTGGAATATTTTAGGACATTCAGGTTCTGTGTGAATGGGGAGACGTCATTTGTAAGAGAGGCAGTGTTAGTTTTGTGATCTCAGGTTAAAAATCAATTTCTTTACTGTCCAAATCTGGAGTTTGAGTTTCTGTTTTCCTGTAGCAGTGATGTCCTCAAAACACTCGTAGCACTCTGCACGCTTCCAGCTGGTTTTGATGTCAGCTTTTTTAGGTCAAACACAGTTATGCTGAATTCAGGATTGGCAGCTAAGTGAAGTAGGGGACAGATTTATGCATTTTTTTACATATACTTCCAAAGGTGAACCACAAAGCAAGAAGAAAAGCATGTCCATGTAAATGTATAAAGAAGATCTCAAAGTTCTTTCTATTCCACTCCCTCCACTTGCACACAGATATACTTTCTTTTCCGATTCTCCATTACAATTAGGCTTTGACTATCGTTTGTGGGTGGATGGCCGTAGCAATTTTGGGGAGGATTGAAATGGTAACACCATAACAGGTTGAAACCTGAGATGTTGATTTTCCCAACCCCTAAGACAAGTCTGACTTAACATCCCTCGCCCCCTTCAGCTGATGACAGGGAAAGCTGTAGCCTTTGGGGATGTTACCGCCAAAGTCCTCCAGCTAAAAGCGGGAAGTTGGAACATGACAGACCTAATGTAAATAACAACCTCAGTATTTTTTCTGTTTATCTTTGTACATCAGTGGTTTTCAACCTGTGGCCCGTGGATCCCTGGGGGTCTACAGACTATGTCTAAGATTTCCAAAGGGGTCCATGGCTCCATTCAAAAATGTTTAGGGGTCTGCAAATGAAAAAAGGTTGAAAACCACTGTTATACATCGTAAAGGAGCAATAAAGGCCCCATACATGTGTATTTATCAGTAAACATTTAATCTTGATTTGAAAAAGTTGGGCTGTTCACAGTTTTATGATTTATACTGATTTAGTCGATGGTGGCCAGCAACTCGCATATGTGCCCAGGCAAGAGTAGGCAAAGCGGTTTTTTACTGGCTGAGCTTATCCCTGCTTGAAATCATGTGTAAGAATAGCAGGGGCAAAATATTGATGTTAAAACTGTAAGAACAGACAGCAGTGAGATGAATAACTATATCAGGAAACAAAGTTCTTTAAATCATGTTTTGTAACCTTGGCTCTGTCATTTATTTTTGCTTGGTTGGGATGTCTCTTAACTTTTCAGTTACTACGTAAATGGACGAAGCGCTACCAGAGAGGATTTCTTGAGCCCTGAAGTGCTGGAAACCTTTATTACAGCAGTAAAAGCAGTTCTTCAGGTACAATGTTATGTTAAATTGTCTGTGCACTCAGCTACCATAATGCTGGGCGTATAAGAACCAGAATAGAAATTGTTGGCTAGCAATACATCTAAAGAATCTCAATATTTAGATGCCGTACTCATTGTAAATAATATAACAAATATCATCAATGCTAACAACATTTGATCTCAAGATATTTCAATATGAGGCCTTGGTATCTACTAAGCATAAGGTTTAACATATTATAAACCATGAAAATGAATTTATAGTTATTTGTTCATGCCATCATAGCCCCAGAGATTAAATTTATGGCCAGATTCTGCCCCTTTACTCACACTAAGTAGTACCTTATTCCCAGAGTACTCCTGCTGATTTCAACAGGACTACTTACATAGTAAGATACTGTGTGTGAGTAAGGGTTGCAGAGTCTGGTCCTGATTAATTTAGATTTGGGAATCTATTATTTAATATATGTGAGTTTAAAAAAATTTTTTTTTTCTTTCCCCTACTCCTGTTCATCAGAACTCTTGTGGAGCCTTGCCTCATTAAATATGGTCATATTAGGAGGCTCTGAAGGTCGTATGATCTCTCTAGAGATCTGTTCTAAAGCACATAATTTGTGACTATTTAGGCAGATCTATATATGTACTTACTTTCCTCTCTTTATCCTAATGACACAACATTCTCTAGATTGTTGATGGAACTGTACCTGGTAAAAAGGTGTGGCTAGGAGAAACAAGTTCAGCCTATGGAGGTGGAGCTCCCAGACTGTCTAATACATATGTTGCCGGTTTTATGTAAGTAGAACAGCATGTCTTTAAAGTTACTCTTTTTTTCTGTAGGGCTCTGGGTTTTTCAGGAACTCCTCCAGTTAAACGACCACCATTAAATGCCCAGCATGTCAGCAACATTCCCCTGTCTGAATAGGACTGGCTTTCTTTGGAGCCCCATAACACTTCTGCATGCAGACCTGAGGTGGTCACTCTCATGCCAGTTAGTCGCCAGGAACAGAGAACATTGATCCCAAAACATTCCCTGTGTGAGGGATCTAGCCAAAGACACGGTATTTTATGTTAAGTGCTGGCCAGGAAAATGTTTGCTTGACTTTTAACACTGTATAGAAAGGGTGGCCAAAATAAGTGTGGCCTATAGACCGCAGTGCAACCATTGTAGCATTCTATAGGGTCACTGCTTCGTGTGTATGTTTGGAGGTGTGGCCCAGCGAAACTACAGGTCTTAGCATACTAACAGCAATCATACTGGGAAAAAAGTTCTGGTACTGTCTCTAGCTTCATCCATAGCTGGCGCACCCTCCACTTGTGATGCCAAAATGAGATGTGACTGACTGAGCAGATCTTCACCATATGTTTGTCTGTATTTCTTTCTTTTGGCCGACAGTGAAATAACTCACCACACGGATGTTTAAATTGTTGCCACTGGATTTCAACATTACCGCTTCATTGAAATGAAAGGACAGTGTTTATGCTTTTCTCAGAAGTTAATTTCAGTCAGTCTGCAGACTCAGGCAGACATAACTGCATTGGTTCACGTCTGGTTCATGTTTTAGCAACCAAAAAATCTAGAGAATTATTTTTACAAATGAAAGTCAAAAAACTAGAGCACAAAATGACCTCTTCATGTGAGGCTCCATCTGAACCTTACTGCTTCTGTTCAGGACAAAATCACATGCTGAGCCTTTTCATCTCCATAGGCTGCTTCTCTACTCAAGACGAAGATGGTGACAAGAGAGTTTAAGGAAACAGCACAGTAGACTCAGACAGCTAGTCAGATGGAATGTGAAATGGATTTTCAGAGATGCTCCTGCCATTTCTGTATTTTGATTTAGATTCATGGGTTTTTTGTGCTTAGGATTATCATTTGATTTTAATTCTTGTTTCGTGTACAAGGCAGCTGAGATGGCATGTAACATAGTTTAGATGAGCAGTTTTTTCCCTGTTTGTTTTGGCGACATTTGCATTACTGTTTTTTTTTCTTTTTTTGTCTCCTGTTCTCTGGCAGGTGGTTGGACAAATTAGGACTGTCAGCCAGAATGGGTATTGATGTGGTGATGCGACAAGTGTTCTATGGAGCAGGAACCTATCACCTGGTGGATGCAAATTTTGAACCTTTGCCTGTGCGTATACAATAGCATTGCCTTAATAATCATACATATTGTATCTATTTGTATTCTGGTTAAACCTGATGTGGAGAGAGATGCCAGCTATTTTTATCTCCCTAAAGAGACTCACATATACGTGCCTGTGACATACCAGGGTACAATCTAGACTAATGAGCAGGTGTGTCACCCCTGCCCTGCAGCTTTGGGTGCCTTACGATGCCTTGCTGAAGTAGCTCCCACCTGGGCCGCTCACAATCAGCCTTCCAGCGTGCAAGCCACACCCTGAGTGTCCGTATGTAACTGCAGCCTGCCAGCCACACTTGGGTTACACTCTGGCTCTCACTAGCCTTGGTTATACTGTAGGGTGACCCCAACACATCCCCAGCCTCAGATTTCCCCCCAGAAATGTATGTTCTGCACTGCCCAGCCCTCTCCTCGACAATACAAATTATATTAAGTTGGTTGTTCCTTTAGGAGAATAATATGCACGCAACTTGTCACCCCAAATGGAGTTACTCAGCCACTTCAATTTAAACACACTGGATTAGATAAACCAATAAAACAAGTTTATTAACTACAAAGAGAGAAATTTTAAGTGAGTACAAGTAATAAGGCATAAAAGTCAGAAATGGTTACAAGAAAAATAAAGATAAGACTAACACCTAATTTAACAAACTATATCAGATTCAAGCAATGTTTCTCACCACATGCTTACCGCAGTCTGACTGACCAAACTGTGGGACGGGAACCCTCTCCCAGAGACCAACGATTACTTCTTTTGTCCATTCAGGTACAGTGAATGCGATAAGCAGGGAAAGAGAGAGGGGTGCCTTGGGGTGTTTGTCCTTCCTTTTTATAGTTTCAGTCCCTCTCTTGAAAAACATTTCCAGCTGAGCATGGGAGACGAAAAGTCAATGTGGAAGGATGTTCTCTGCTGGCTTTTTCTCACCTGTTTGAGCTTCCTTTGTTTCCCTTCCTGCCTGATGACTCGGTTTACTATTTAAATGCAAATTAAGCAGAGCATACATTCCTTTGTTTAGGACAGACCTGTTTGCCAAGCTGTGCTTGAGCAGCAGAGACGGACCTGAGCCACAATGTTCTGATCTAGATACAAACTTTCCCAAGTGTTCTGAGGAGTCCATGCTTTGGTTTGGGGGTTTCTCTGAGTGGTAAATGATTTTCAAATGTTAATGATTTGAGATGTTTCAACTTAGTTATTTATGTTATGAGCTAATAGCATAAGAATGTTATTTTTAAGAACAAAGCTGTTAGTCAAAAAAGCAACAGAAACCAATACACTTTTTCATTTCCTTATAACATAGGGAGCCAGATTTATTTGGATTAACTATAAAGGTTCTACTCTTTCTGTGAGTGTAGAACTCTCATTAGTGTTAATGGCAATTATGCATGGATATGGGGAGGAGTAACAGTTCCCATCCTTCTTTCCTACCTTCCCCACACTTGATCTGCTTCCAAGTTGTGGCTGCTACAAATTCGTGAAAAGAGGGCTTATAATGGAAACTGGTGTATGTAACTATGATGCTGTTTTATGTATCCTGCTCATTGTAAGATGTCCCCCAGGGGCAGGGCTGTGGGGGGATTTAAGAGTTAGTATTTGTTCTTTCTTGTTTTCCTTAATCTAGAGTAGATAGTGGGAAATGTATATGACTATAAATAAAGCCAGTTTTCTGGGTTTGCTGGTGAATCACTCATCTGAAAATTTAGATCTTTTTCTATACAGCAGCCTTCATTCTGCAGGGCAAATATCTTTCATGATCCAGAGGAAATTTAAAAATAACAGGCTTATTTTGGAACCAGTCAGCCTTCACATGGTCCTCATACATATGGTTATGGGGAAAGAAACGAGTCTGCTAAAATGGAACTTGTCTTTTCCCCATGTGTTTTCCAAGCCATATCTACCAAGCTTATCTAAAGTCCGTGTTTTCCCTGGTGTTAGAACTACAGAGCTAATCTAGCAGAAAGCGAGTTGCAGTGTATGCTGTCTCCTCTTAAAAAAAACAAACCAAGTTAGACAAAGGAACAGTGCAGCAATATAAAGACATGGGGCCCTGATCCTGATCTCACAGCATTTTTGCATTCGGATAATTAGTGACTTCAGTGGCATTACTCCTGACTCTCTCGGTTGTACGAGTTCGGAATTGATCTCCTGATATTTATACAACCGCTTTATTGGAAAAGAGTGAGCTGTTCAAAGCAGGCACTGTTAGAGCTGATCGAGGGTCCGTCCCCGTGAAGTACTGAGGGCAGCTCAACTCCTGTTGATTTCAGTTGAAGGTTAGGCCGCTCAGCACTCTGCAGAAGGTGCTTACCATTGTGCAGGATCAAGACCTGCATCTCCCACTTGAAGGACTCCTATATCCACCGATGAAGAGAGGAGAGCAAAATAGCTCTAACTGTACCTTCTACACTCAGCAAATTGATAACAGGATTTTTCTTTGTCACATTATTTGTTGTGAATTTGAACAAATTTGATATGAAGGACATTGCAAAAGAGAAACTAAAAGGAAAAGCACCAAGATAGCAGAAAAGGGACTCTCTTAATTAAACAAAAAAGTGCCTCACCATATACTGCGTTAGCTCTAAGCTGCACTAGCAGATGCAGTTACTGGGTTTTTAGTCATTATATGTCATCTGCATTTGAGATTATTCACACTCCCAACAACTTGATGGTGGCAGCAGAGTGAATGTACAATCAGAACATACCTGTGTATGTGACTTGCCAAGTTCTGCAATTTAATGGAGGGTGGGAGGTGCAGCCACCGGAGACTGTGAGCCCAGCGTGGCTCAATATCCATCACTGGATGGTGGATCTAGTGGTTTCAGGAGTCTGCACTTAGGTATTAAAAATGAGAGGCTGCAGCCTGCCCTGGTACATGTATATTGGATGTAGCCCTCAAGCTCCTGGCTAGTTATCATTGGGACCTTGTTAGGATAACATTTTGGACACCCCTGACACAGAGCATGGTGATATTGTAGTATAGTGTCTGAGTGTAATTTCCCTCTTATCTAAAATACCTTGTTTGCCATATGGAAAAATGTTTTGTTTTTTATATGCAACACAGGATTATTGGCTTTCTCTGCTGTACAAAAAACTGGTCGGCACCAAGGTACTGAAAGTTGGCCTGAAGGGAGCAGATCCGAAGAAGCTTCGAGTGTACCTTCATTGCACGAATAACCACAAGTAAGCATTTAAACACAACATCCAGGAACAACTGAATACAGTGAAAACAGAGGCCTTAATGCACAATGAGCCCATTGTAACCAATGGAAACATTCTGACAGGCTAAACGGGGCTTTGGAGCAGGCCCTGCAATTGATCTGCAATTCCACAGTGTAACACGTAGAATGGGGAGAGGAGTTCTAGAAAAACATTCAGGGGTCTCTTATGACACTTTCAACAACTAGGTCCATAGGAATTGCTATAGTGAATTATGTGAGAAGGTATAGATGGTGTTGTGGTTAAAGCCCTGGGCTGGGACTCAGGAAATCTGAGTTTTATTCTTTGCTCTGCTTCAGACATCCTGAGTGACTTTGGGAAGTCACCAAATTTCACTGTGCCTCAGTTCCCCATCTGTAAAATAGGGATATTTCTTTTTTCTCCCCACTACCCCTTTGGTCTAACTCTCTGGGGCGGGGACTGCTTCTCACTGTGTGTGAAAGGGCCCCATTGTGCTAGGCACTTATCTCAGCTGGTACTTTTGGGTGCTACTGTACTACAAAAAATACCACCACCATTGGGTCCATCCAGTCCAATATCCTGCCTCTTGTGAGGGGATCTGGAAGGAGTCTTCTTACCCTCCATAGAACTAATTCTAAGGAAATGAGAACAGTATACTTGCAGGTGCAACCTTTTACCTCATCTCCTTGCCATCCATGTTGCTCTCTTAGTGGCTAAGGCATTGAGGCTGGTGGTATAGACATAGCTGCAGGTCCAGCAGCCTATCCCGTGTCTCCCTGTATTCTGGGATGTTGTTCATCGCTCTTGGTGCGCTGGGGGCACAGACACACAAATGGAGTTTTGCCATTCATCCTCTCCCAGGGCAGAGGAACCACAATTGTTCTGGTGAAGAGGGAACGTGATCTGCCCAATTGTGAATACAGCTCCTTTCAAATACTATAATTTATTTTTAATATGTGATTGTTAATGTGCCTTTCTCTTCCCTTTCAGCCCAATGTACAAAGAAGGGGATGTTACTCTGTTTCTTTTAAACCTCTATAATGTTACCAAACACGTGCAGTTGCCCCATAACTTATATAATAAGCATATAGATGAATACCTTTTATTACCTCATGGGGAACAGCACATACTTTCCAGGTGAGAATCCATTTTCTTTTATTGTAAATTGTACCCTCACTATCATGTAGATGAGCTATAAAAACAGGTCTCTATTTTCAATTTTTTAGGATAAAAACGAATTACTTTGATGTTTTAGTGTTTTGTAAGTGCTTACTTATAACATTTGGGCTCCTAAAACCAGGCACTGTTCATAAATGTTATTGATATGGTAGCTCTGCAGACATGTAATGACTATTATTGATGTTCTATTTCTGCATTTAATATGGAACATGGGAGTGATGGAACGTCACAAAAACGTATTGATCAAAAGGCTGCCTGTATCCAGGTTCAGTATTTTGGGCTTGATTCTAATCTCAGACCGGTTTTGAACACAGGTGTAACTGCAGTGATTTCAATGGAGTTACTCTTAATTTATGCTGGTTTTATTAAGATTAGAATCAGGCCCTCTGTGTTTAAACACCTACTATTAATATCGCTAACACATAAAATGGTAAGGATCTGCATCCTTCGATTCTAAGGTCAGAAAGGACCACTGTGATCATCTGGTCTGAGTGCACCTCTTTGGGTGTCAGTGGTGTATTAACAGTTTCAAGAGAAACAGAAGCTTATCTGTGCTTTTCAGAGTACATTCTCCACCCAACTTGTGATTGTGAACAATTTAACAACAACAAAAACTTCTACTTTTCAGTATTCCTTAAAGTTACCCCACATAAATGTGTGTGTATCTATCATGTACATAAATACATGGAGCTTGCAGGCAGCTTAATAGATCTAGTAGACATGCTGCCAGTATCCTGTACACTTGTAAGTCTGTAAGGATGGGGGTGGAAAGTGGTTTAACTACCTTAAAGCAACCTAAATCTGCCTTAATGTCAGTGCTTTCCTTCTTTCTTCCAGTCACACCAAGTGAGCTTTGTGTTAGGTGGTGCACACAACACATAACTAACCCAACAACCTCTCTCCATGCAGGTCTGTTCAGTTGAATGGTCATGTCTTAAGGATGGTGGATAACAAAACACTGCCAGCACTTACTAAGAAACCCCTCCCTCCCGGGAGTACTCTTGGCCTTCCAGCTTTCTCATATGGATTTTATGTAGTAAAAAATGCAAAAGCTATTGCTTGCATTTAAACATTGAACACATCCTCACAGGACGGTTGCAGGCGCATTGTAGCTAAAACTCAGGTTTGATACTAGGGGGTCACGTTTTTGCAATAAGCATTAACTCTGGCAAACTTGCTGCAAATCTGCTGGAGTGGCAGCAACAGCAAAAGCTGGGGGAGGAGAGGGCATAAATGCATATTGTGTACTGTGTACATGAACCATATTGATGTAAACCTGCAAGAACATTTTCCCCAGGTTTTGGGGAGTTGCTTCCTTCCTCTCTTGGGCCCCCAGTGGTCCACTTAGCAGCAAGTCCTTCTCTATTCCGCACACTCCTGTCACAGGAGCTGATTACACTGTGTCTGCAGATCTGCCAGCCAAAGACTTAGATATTCCCTCATGGTCTAGGTTATATAAATTTAAGCACAATTGTTATAGCAGCCTTTTTTTTCTGAGAGCAGATGACGTTCATGAGGGCTTTTTAAAAAATATATTACCCCTCCCCCTCCCCGTGTTTTTACTCGCACTGTTCCTGTAATGCTCACACAATATGGGAGAGCAGGAGACAATCATGGGAAAGCTACCACTAGTTACTGCAGGTAATGAGCTTCTGATTTTTTTTTTGTGCATTAAGGGATGTTCAAAGCCCAGCTGCACTTTAACTGTTAGTTATGTTGGGGGCGAAGGATGGAGAAAACAAGCAAAAGGAAGATGAATAAAGGAAGGATTATCTAAATGGAAGGAGGGAAACAGTGAGGAAAAACGCAGAAACTTAGGGCTTGTCTACACTTACAAGTGCAGCTATGCCACTGTCGTGCTTAGTGAAGACACTACCTATGTCAACAAGCGAGCTTCTCCCATTGAGGTAGGTACTCCACCTCCCCCAGAAGCACGCCTGTAGACATAGTGCTGTCTCCAGTGGGAGTTAGGTCAGTATAACTGCATCACTCAGGGGTGTGGCTTTTCACTCTGATAAAGCTTTTCACTCTGCTTTACTGATTTTTCAGGATAACTATGATCTCCTTTTAACCTGCTTCCCTGGCTCACAAATGTTATCAGTTTTGGGAAGAAGTTACCTCTAAACAACTCCATGAGGAACTGTGAATATGCTCAGTGAAGTCCCCTCATGTCACTACCAAGGGCCTGAAGTATGATCAGGCTGGATAGTTTCACTAACTGTAGGGAAGGCACAGAGGGTCTGACTCAAAGCCCATTGAAGTCGGAGATAAAACTTCACTGGGCTTTGGATCATGCTCAGAATAACTAACATGGCTGTAGGAGACCGCTGATTTCTCCCAATCAGAACTGTGAGCCCTCTCCCTCTTTTCTTTGGGCCAGCAGGGGTAAATGTCAGCTGGAGCCTTCTTCTCTTGGCAACCTTTCAAAGCCAATTTTCCGTCTCCCTTAAACTTACTGCATTCTTCCTATACTTTTACTCAGGAACTATTTATTCTCTCATAAATAAATCTCAAAACACCAAATAGCAATATAACTTAAAGCACAGCTATTGCCTTTGATATTTGTTTGTACCTAATTTCTTAAAACATACAACCTGCTACAATGCAAACTGTGAATGCTTATTTTGAGATATATCAGGAAAAGGTTTCACATGACTGTATTTTTCCTATTCAGGATTTAAGAGAGACAATTAGGTAAATAAGGAACCAAATTTAGATTGTTTTTTAAAAACCCAACTACTTTAAAAACATACAAATCACTGAAATATAGTTATGACATTTTGTTTAAAAATTGCAATGAAAACAGATAATTTGTGTTCCACTTAAAATATTTCATTGCAGTATTTGCAACCCAAAAAGTGCACCATTGTGCTAATACATACATGCCCAAAAGTGAAATGGGCTATAAACAAACGCAAGACCGACAAGTCTCTTTTCATTCTCCAAATTCAAATGAAAGAAGTAAACAGACAGCATAAATTATGAAAAAAAATAGGTTTATAGAATTCTTAGCTGTAACAGTCTAAAGTTTTGAAAAACAAGTAATAAAAATTTTTTTAGACTGACAACATACTTTACAGAACCGTTCTTAAAAACCAGCAACACAGCCTGTTTGTAGTGACTTTTTAATATTTGCATATTTTAATAAAATTTATATTACAGTTTGGTAATTGTGGTTTTCTTTAGAATATCAGTTTAAAAACTGGAAACACAGCTCTCACTGTTTGTTTTAATGTTGTGACATTTTTATATTTGCACATTTTTAATAAAGTAATTTATATCACATTTTAGTAATTGTGGTTTTCTTTAGAAGGTTCATTTTTAGCTTATTCATATCTGTGAAAGGTACATCCTTACAGTCAGATTTCTTTTAATCAAACCTCCTCCAGCTGTCTTTCTATGATTTCCCATGAGTGCAAGAGATAAAAAATAAAAGAACCTCATCTGAAGCACACAACCTTTTATTGTGATTTATATTTTTTGTGGAACACCAGCTGACAAACACTGGTTTTACAGTTTCAACCAGATAAATAACAGTACAAATGCAAGGGAGCATGCAGACAAGGCTTGTGATGTCAACAAGTAAATCATTGTGATAGTTTCATTTTTAAACATATGGCCTCTTTCTTTAATAGATAATTATCATTATGGAGGTAACAATTAGTGATATTTAGAACTTGGATAGTGCTTTTCAACTTCAAAACACTTTACCAATGTCATTAATCTTTATAACACCCTCTGAAGAGTACTATATAATGAATAGGAAAGCACTATTAGCCCCATTGTACAGGTGAAGACATTGAGGCACCGAAGTTAAATGTGTCCAAGGTTACAAAGGGTTCAATGTCAGAGCCTGAATTAGAATCCCAGGTTCTCAGCACTGTGCTCATGTAGCTTGACCATGCCTATCTCCCTCCCACTACAGTCATTGCCTTAGCATCTTGTTTTATGGTTTTTCCATGGCATTATAATAAACCATAGGAATTTAATCCAGACTAAGGAATTGGTACATACATGAAATCATAGCTCATGAATTTTTCCTGTCCCCATTATAATTATTTTCAAAGAAATTACTTTGTTGTTTTAATACTCGTGGCATTTTTCAGAAGTATATAAGAGAGAACAGCATTTGTGTACAGCAGGAAAGATTAACAGCTTTGGCATGTCCCTCTTCTCCCCTCATCCCCAGAATTGGGAGGAAGGGGAATTCAGGTTCACACATCTGACATGGTTCGGTTAAGCAAACGTAACATAATCATAAAGTTCTGTGTTTTAAAGTAGTATTTTCCAGAATATAGTTATCTCCCATGAACTCCCATGAACTTGGCTAGTCCAGCTACTTAAAGTACACCCTTAAGCGTGAAGCAGGGACAGAGACTGGCTCTCCTTACATTGTATGAAGAAAAAGAAAAAAAAAAAAAGGAAGGCAAAGTGTATCTAAGAAGTTTCCAATGTGAAGACACTGAAATTTGGGGTCCTGTTTTGTTAATCACAATGCAGCAGGTTGGTATATGTCAATGTTCAAGGTACTTGTGAAGGAAAATGATGGGGGGACATAAATAACCAGGAAAAAATTAATGGAGCTAGTCTCTGACTGCAAGGGAACCATTTAGCAACCAACTGCCTTATGTGATCACCCTCCTCTCTGTTTAGGGATGGTCTTACAACATTTCTGCTCTTGAAAAGATAGCAAAATTCTGAGTTGGGCTCATTAGAGTGAGAGATTTTAAAATGATGGCTCCTTTTTCTATGGTTTATTCATGTGAAGTGGAGAAATGATATATAGAGATGGGTGCAAATCCAAAGTGTAGAACCAAATGGCTGGGAACTTTGGGGAAGCATGACTCTGAAGCTGGAAGCAGTGGGCCATGTGATGAAAGCTTCCAGAAGAATTCCCTATGTGTGAATACCAAAGTCTTTGGGTGGAGACAGTAAAACAGGACAGCAAAAGTTCTTATTGTACCTTATAAAATGATAGTCAAATTAAAATTATTTGCATCTACAATTTTTGTAATTACTGTTACAAATAAATTCTAAGATTACTATAACATTTTTTCCTCTTTTTTTGCAATTTGTTTACTTTGTGCTGATGGTGCATGCTTTTCCTGTAAGACCTTAAAGAGGGCATTTACCAGTCACAGCAGAAGAGCTGAAAATGAACAAATACCAAGCAGCATCCACCTGTAGGTGTCACAGTTCAGGGCAACTGCACCTCTATTCCACTTCTGTGATCCAGCGAAGGCATCCACTCTAGGCTTCTGGCTTGCCTTGCCATCACCTCTCTTGAACGGAGACGGTCTCACTCCCTCCTGACTGTATTCCAGGCTGCACAGTCCCCCTGCCTGTATTCTGATATCTCCTGCAGAAGACAGACTACCTAAACAGGACTGCTTACTTTCTCTTCAGAGGCTAACAACAAAGTAATTGCCCACAGTTATAAGGTACCACATAGCACTTCCTCTGCAAACCTATTTTATTCTTAAGTTGAAAACATATTCAAAACTACAAAGGAACCTATATGCATGCCAATAAGCTTACCAGAGATCACAGGAGCTGACTTTCCAATGTGCTGGGGTGTGCTCGACCCCCAGCTCTGCCCCAGGCCCTATCCTGCCCCTTTACACCCCCTCCCCCGAGCACGCCGTGTCCTCGCTCCTCCCCAGAGCCTCCTGCATGCAATGAAAAAGCTGATCGCAGCAGGTGGAAGGGAGGGAGAGGTGCTGGGGGAAAAGGGGGGCTGCTGGTAGGTGCTCAGCACCCACCACTTTTCCCCGTGGGTGCTCCAGCCCCGGAGCACCCCAGAGTCGGCGCCTGTGCCAGAGATCACTCCAACCCTATTGTGGGCTTTGGCAGGAGCAGTCCTTCAAAACAACACCCAAGGAGTTTCATTGTAGTTTCAAGTTTGTCAGTTTCAGCTCAGAACAAGCATTCAGTCTTTTGGGGCCTCAGTAGGCCAACTCCTTCTACCCCTCCCTAAGGATTGGGATCCTCCACGAACTAGGAGGTCCAGTTTGTTTGCCGCAGCAGGAAGAAGGTCCTAAACCTGTTTAAAATCAGGCTATTTATCCAAAAATCCTTTCTTTTTCTGTTGGTCCCCAGAGAATCCAGTCTGAACTAGCATATGCTCATCTCTCCAGTGGGTGGCGGCAAAGGGCTGATAACTGCAGAAATGTGATTAGCGTCCCTCACCTCCTAGAGGAGTTATATACAATTCCAATAACATACGCAACTGATATTTAATACAACAGGCCACAAGGATAGTAAACCTAATTCAATATGTTATAACTTAATTCAGTAAATTTATCTTACTTCCATAAAGTTTGGCCAGACTATTATCAATCTGTCATAGTATGAGCAGAGAGAAAAAAGTGAACTGGAGTATTTTTGGTTTTGCTCTCTGGACTATCCAAAAGGCCCATCTAAACATTAAAAGGGAAGCAAGAAAAAACCCTTAACTATTAAAGGGATTTTTTTTAAATGCATGCGATTTAAATGGTGCTCTATCTGAAATAATGCTTTAAGTAA